CAAGAAAATATTTGATACTTAAATACAGTCAAGGAAATTCCTGGATCGAATATTGAAGATTGAGTATCTGATGGAATGAATATTTTATTGTTTTTGTGTAGCATATTATTGCATTATGATTATGTCTTTGTTGTACATTATAATATGACCCCACCCCAATAGATTTGCAAAGGATATATTCCTAGACTTATTGTGGAAATGCAAAAGTCTGGAAAATAGTGAACCTTATTGAAATGAATGACTAGTTCTGGAGGACCTAGATATTCCTAGGAAGAACACCTCTCTAGGCATTTCTGGGTCCTCCAATGTGACTCTATAGTCAACGTTCACCAGAAGCATACCATAGAATCATGCTGGAGGGCATAGAAAATGCCTAGCAAGAATGTATTTTTTCAGATGTGTGTAAATGAAACTGTGGGTACCAGTCCTGTTGATATGGGGGTCATACTGTACTATGGTAATTTTCTGGTAAATTAATAAATTAAATAAAGTAAAATAGAAGTCTTCACTTCAGTCTGCTTCCTTTAAGGCTGCAGAAACCCACCAGAGATCACAGAGAGATACCTGAAAAGTTGCTAGATTTCATGCAGGGTACTGACAGGGTAAAATACCACCATGGCAATGCACAGTTATGGGATCAGGCAGTTGTTGCTCTGAGAGACAGGGTGGGCATTTCTAATTTTAATTGTCACCCCAACGATGAGCGTAGCTAGTCTTTGAAGTAGATACAGTCCCCGTAAAAAATTAAAAGGCATTGCAAAATGCACATACCCTAGTCTGCAAGCTCTATGGGAAAAATGCCAGTTCCTCATCTCCTATTGCTGGCACCAAGTCTCAAAACTACAGTAGTTGAAATAGCTCAGTTGCTTTCTGCTATGGCAACTATGAATGAATTGATGAGTGATGCATCCAGAGATTGCCAGCTTCCCACATAAGGGTGTTTTTGTTCTCTTGAATCCAAGTGTCTACACTTTGCCTCCTCACATACTCCTTCTGACCTCTTTTCAGGCTGTTACTGTTAAAGATGATTATACCACCTTTAGGTGTAGCTTTACCATTGTTTCAGAATTAATCATGCCCTAGTCGAATGTTCTTGCTCACTTTATTCACTGTAAAATTGTGTTGTCCTGCCTTTCTGCTTCATAGTGGAGCACCTACAGTATTTAAAAAGAAAATATACTGGTTGGCACACATTTGTTTATATTAGAGAAGTTTGCTTCTTGTTTTTGGCATCTAAAGTCAACCTCAGTAAAACAGCAATAATGAGATAAAAACAAATATAATGCATCCACTAATCAAAGCCTGGAAAAATTACTTCTTTTTGGAAAGCAACTTACTAAAGTCTGAATTAAATTATCAAAATAGGAGCACAAATAAGAGCATCAGGTAACTAAAGGTGCATCTATGCTGAAAGGAAAATCCAGTTTACCTTCAGATTACCCCAATCCACAGCAACCATGATCGTGTCTACACACAATGTGGTGAGTTCAGAAGAACTGTCCACACATAGTTTTCACTTTTGCACTCACCCATGTCTGATAAATCATGGTATGTGGGGCCGCACATCTGTGGTACCTTTAGTTCCCCCTCTCTCCCGCATGCATGCAAATGTACCGTATTTTCTGGCGTATAAGACGACCCGCGTATAAGACGACCCCCCATTTTTCCAGTCAAAATATAGAGTTTTAGCACCTCTATCTCCATTATCCCTATACCCGGCATATAAGACGACCCCCCCACTTTAGCCACAGATTTTGCAGGTTAAAAGGTGTTATACGCCGGAAAATACAGTACATATTTTGTGAACTCCTTCCCCCGACCTCACATCGATGTTGCTGTAGAGTACAGTCTACATCCACATGTAAATATTCAGATTTTCCACTCAAAACTCAGATAAATCCCCACTTTATTCTCCAGATGAATGCTCTGAGGTGATGAAAAGGCCCATATTCACCTCCAGTTGTTGCATATTGCTGTTAAACAGCTTGCTGTAAAAACTAGGAGAGACCATTTTATTTGTCCTGTGTAGACGTGCCCTAAGTCTGTTTAAAAATATAGTGCTACAGCAAGCTGTTTAAAAATTTAAAAATATGTTGAAACAATAGAATCTCCACAGTTCTCCTAAACCTTCATAGAGAGGAGGCCAATTCTTTGCAGAGAAAATGCCACTATCTGAGAAGACCCTCATGTCACTGTTGTTGTGTGCCTTCAAGTTATTTCCAACTTACGGCGAACCTAAGGCAAGCCTATCATGGGATTTTCTTGGCAAGTGTCTTCAGAGGGGGTTCATGTCTCTACCAAATGCATTTCCCAACAGGGTGAACCAGAGATATTTTGCTGCTTGAAGTAAGGCAGCAAATGTTGCTCCCCCATGTCTTTAGGTCAACATGCTTAGTACTCAAAGCCAGCCAAATTCTTTTGAGTGATGAAGCAGAAAATGCCACAAATACCTTTCCCTTATCTCCTGCATTAAAGATACAATAATGACAAAGTGAATAACTAATATTTTCTTACACTTTGATGATGATCGCAATCTGCTACTTGATATGGCTGCCTCATTCTGCCGAATGGTAGAGCTGGCCTTCTTCCAAAGACGATGCAACACAGAGCCTTAGCCATTGAATTCAATGAGTGGTAACAAATACAGAAGAGAAGGATCTCATCCACAGACACATAAACCAAAAAAGACCATCACAAACACATTAATAGAACACCAAACAATCCTATGGACTGTAGTAGCTCTTAATAATGTGAATAATCTATACAGCCAATGTAAACAACAACATGAGTGAACAGATTTGTGTCGGATATTGCAGTTCCTCAGACAAACTGGTGTTAAATTATGGCTTGGAATCATGACCAAAACCAAGCAGGAAGCCAGCTCAGATGAAAAAGAACAATAATTTGTTCTCAAAAAGCAGTTTATTTTGCGGGATTTTGAATTCCAAACAATTATCCACAATATAGTGTTTTGTGTAGTTTCTTTGCTACATTTCCCTATTCGTATTCAGTGGTATCTCACCACATTCGCTGGGGTAAGGGGCACAGGACCCCCATGAATGTGTAAAAAACACAAATAACAAATACACTATGTTTTTACCTGAGAGAACACCTCTCTAGGAATCTCTAGGTCCTCCAGTGCAACTCTGTGTCAACATCTGCCAGACATTGACCATAGAATTGCGCTGGAGGAGCTAGAATTGCACTGGAGGAGCTAGTGGAGTGTTCTTTCTAGGAATCTCTAGGTCCTTCAGTGTGACTTTTGGTTCAAGTTGACCATAGAGTTGTGCTGGAGACCTAGAGATTCCTAGACGGGACATACTAATAAAAACCGTTAATAATCAAATCCACAAAAGTCAAAGTCACAAACGTGTAGGCATGAGTGTATATTGACACTAATGGAAATTACATGGTCAGTTCCTCACCAGAATAACATTTTTACATGATCAAAGGGACTTTGGGGGAAATTATTGTTCAATTTTGAAACAAATGCTTTAATATACTTATAGTTGGAATGTTGTCTTTAAAGCTGGTTTTTATGCACCACTTCTCCAGGGTTTGTTAGGTATAAGTTGCTTCTACATAGGGAAATAGGAGAAATTCATAAATAAGTTCAAAAAACGACTTCAAGATCTCACTCCTCTTCTTCAGCTAAACCAAGGGTGGGCACCTGCAGTGAGCCCAGAGGCCAATTTTCTATCTCTGGGACCCTCCAGGGACTTCACAGTCTTCTCAAAAATGCAGAAAAAAACAAGAACCTGAAAGAAGTAGCTAGAAATCTAAGGGATCTTCTATACTAGCCAGAATATTCTTTGCTGCTCCTTGAGTATTCTGGCCTAGGAGCTGTCCGGGATTTCCCCCATTATCTCTGCACTCTGTAGCAACTCCCTCTGAGGTCACAACAAGGCATCCAGCCATGTGATCACTGTTGGTATCTTGTTCCTTCGGAGGGAGTGACTCATGCTACCATCTGTGTTACTGGGCAACACAATAGGGACAAGTGCGTAGACAGCCGTGAGGTGTCACTATGGAGTGATCTGGGTTTTCCTGCAAAATCTGGTACAAAAAATAACTTTAAAAAAATGGGTTAAGGAAGGACCGGGCCAGAGTGTGGAACTGAACCCAACTGAAGACAGTCTGCTTTCAAATTGGGGATTCATGAAGTGTGAAGATAGGGTGAGACTGTTTTGTTTGGCCCATGTAGAAGTGGTTTGATAGGTATGCTGTAGCTCAGTGTTTATGACTCTGACTCTGATTATTGCAGTTCTTCATTTTATACCATGGCAGCTTAAAACAGAAACTAGTACAGGAAAATGGGGGTGGGTGAGAATGAAACAGGCAGCAGGAGGGAGCCTTCATTTGCTGAATACTGACAGGCAGTGGGAAAAATGCAGCTGCACTACTTGGTCTAAAGTGGTCTTCCCAGCTGTTTAACTGTTATGGCTATGCCTTGAATGGCTGCCTCCGCAAGGCTTAGGGAAGACCCTGCTCAGTCTTTCAAGTATGTCTCATTTATAGATTTCTGATTTAACATAAATCAGCAAATTCTGTCTGCCACAAAAAAGAAAAGACAATATTTTGCATTGTACAAGTTTGGACATGTTGAGGGGAGGACTTCTTGACTTTTGTAAGCAGACAAATCAGATTCAGCTAATAGAATTGATTCGGTCTGTAAGACAATGAAGATTTGAGACAGACAACTATCCCATTCTATCGGTTTCCCTTGTTCAGTCCCAATTTCATTTGGCCTTATATCTTGATATAAAATCAGGATACTTTTTTCTTCCTTCTCCTCCTGTTGCATAGTGGGATTGTGACACCACTGGAGGGAATCCAGTAAGGGAGTGTCATTTCTCAATGTACCCAACACACAGGGCAGAACTCAACATGATGTCAAATGTATGGACACAATTTTAAAAATAAAGAAGTAGCACCGATGTTAGATGATTGCATAAACTTGGGGGCAGGGAGAAGGGAATGGGCAGAAATACTTGCATGTAGCCAGTGTGGTATAGTGGTTTGAGTGCTGGACTATGACTCCAGAGACCAGGGTCTGAATCCCTGTTCAGCCACAGAAAACCACTGGCTGATCTTGGGCAAGTCACACTCTCAGAGATGGGCAATGGCAAAGCCCCTCTGAAGAAAATTGTCAAGAAAACCCTTGATAGGTTCACCTTAGGGTCACTGTAAGTCAGAAATGACTTGAAGGCACACAACAACAAACAACAAATGGTGCTATGTGGCATTAGATTCGGGATGGACAAGACATGGCCAGGAAATCACATGAAGTCACATATGTGTCTGTCCAGCCATGGTTTTTGCAGAGGAAATGCTGATATCAGTGCAATTCATGCTTCCAAAATCACAGCAACCTGCTTCTTCTTATTACTTTGCTGTCACTTCAGACAGTGAAATGGATTTTCTGTCTTGCAGGGCTATACGCTGCAGAAGGATGCTAGACTCCTGTGTCACAGAGAGCTGCTGGAATTGCTAACAAGTTTTGATGGGAACTGTGAGGCAGAAAATTCAGTGGCAGAATTTGGGTGGCAGTGATAGCATCCAGACTTTGGTGAATCCCTCAGTGGGGTTATTTATGGCAGGGGAGGCCAATGGAGTCCTTTGACTCTGGAAACTTTCCCCATTTTTGTTTTTATGAAAATATTACAGCCAGGACAGATCATGTTTATGAAGGAGAAATAAATAGATGCTTTAGCTTTGTTGAAGCTAATTAGGGCTAAAACTGATCTCTGTACTGATTTTCCTAGGGTTGCCAGAGTGAAAACTAGAGATTGCTCCTGTCCTTTTAATGGTTTTGATAGTAGAAGGGGGAATTTCAGCAGGCGTTACTTGTTACTTGGCTGTGTTACAAAACAACACCTGTTGAAATCCCCTCTTCTAACAGGGACTCCTATAGCCACTCTAAAGCTCAAACAACATATTTTCAGGCACATGTTTTAAAAGTGTGCTTAGTAATTTTTGCATCTTCCTGCCCTTCTTGAAGAAACCAGCCAAATGATCTAAAGTTTGGCAGTGGCCAATAAAACCAGTGCTTCAGCAATGGGAACTATAGTGTCCAGATCAAGGCTTTTGTCAAACATCACCTGGAACACTGTTTCCAGTTTTGGGCACTATAATTCAAGAAGGTATTGACAAGCTGGGTCAAATTCAGATAAGGATGGCCAGGATGATCAAAGGTCTGGAAATTGAGCCTTATGAGAAACAACCAAGGGAGCTGGGAATGTTTAGCTTGGAGAAGAGAACATTGAGGGATGACATGATAGTCATCTTTAAATATCTGAAGGCAGTTCATGTAGAGTGGACTTGGTTTCTGCTGCTCCAAAGAACAATGAGAACCAATGGATTCAATTATAAGAATGGAGATTCTACCTAAATATTAGGGGAAATGTCTTTACTGTAAGAACTATTCAAGAGGTGAATTAACAGTCTCGGTGGGTTGGGGTGGGATGGACTTTGTCGTTTGTTGTGGCACTAGAACTCTCTGACAGAGAAAGCTAAATAGCTGGCAAAACTACAAATTCCAGAACTCTATAGCAGTGAGCCATGGCAGCTAAAATGGTATCAAACTGCATTATTTCTGCAGTGTAGATGAAGCGTGTGTGTAGATGCAGTGTAGATTTCTGCAGTGTAGAAGAAGTGTGTGTGTAGATTATAAGACAATAAAACCGCAAGGAAAGGGAAGAATTAACTCTGTTCCTTGCTTATTCCTGGATCAGGTTCCTGCATAGCTGTTTATTTTTGCAAGAAGAGCTGAATACCTTTTCAAAAATGCATGTGTAACATAACAGGTCAACAGAGACTGATAGAAAGAGGAAATAAATAATCGGGAATATTTTATCTTGGAAGTGGGCTCATTTCACCCTGACATTAATTTGCTCCTGCCTCCAAGTCTTGGGGAAATTGTTGTTTCGTGATAATCATTAGGTTAGCTGCTGCTGTTTCAGGTCTTTGGAGCTTGATGAAATGCACAGGCGAAATGTTAAATCCTAGCCTCATTTTTCTTTCAAGCTACACAGAACGGCCAAAGAGCTCTTAAAAATCTATAACAGTTCATTACTAAACCCAGGACATTTGCGATTAATTTGCTGCAGAAATGAAGTGCTGCTTGAAACAGCCAGCCAATAGCCTGAGCACTGCATATTTGGCTTTCCATCTCTCTCTTTAGAGCGGTCAGTGGAACATGAAAAAGCAACTGGCTAGTTATTAGGATAGGCTATCAAGATGGTCTCCACACTAATAAGAAAGCAAACAAAGGAGTTGCTTTAAAAAAATGTTGTCCAACAGCCAGATGTGTTTTGTGTGCACCACCATCTGCTCTGGGAATTGCTCTGTTCTGACCTGTTTTTAGGGGGGATGCAGATGGGCAGCCATGGGCCGCCCTGAGAAGCAGTGGATTGGGGCTGAGGCTGCCCCACACATCGGACCCAATCCAATCTTTTTCCAGCCCTCAAGGTGCGGAAAGGGCGCGGGAAGAGGTGTGTGCCTTCCTTGGCTTGAAGATGGCGCTTTGCGCTGTCTGCAAAGTCCCTTAGGCAGTGGTTTGAAAAGTTATTATATTTGGACTACAACTAGAAATGTTGGAAACTGGAATCAAAATATGTACCTTCTCCAACATCTAGTGCAGTGGTTCCCAAATTTTGGTCCTACAGATACTTTGAACTTCAGATCCCTGACTATTGGCCAAGCTGACTGGGATTCCTGAGAGTTGAAGTCCAAATCATCTGGAGGTTTGGGAACCACTTCTATAATATGGCCTGAAGCAGGTGTGGGCATGCTGATTGAGGTGCATGAGAAACAAATCACTGTTGTTTTCTTTTTCTTCCTTTTTTCATTTGTACAGGGAGGCATTGCTGACATTTCTCTGATGACTAGGCTTTGTCTCTTGGGCTTCTCAGTCTTGGGCTGTCAAGCTGATAGGAAATTTGCAAGCTTACAGAGGAGAATACTGAAAAGAGACTATAAGACAGATTTCTCCAGGGTGCCATATGGGTACTTTGCTGTGATTATCTGAACACCTTCATGGCAGACGTGTCATGGAGTTAAAGACTGCCATTAATATTACCAGAAGTGTCTGAGAAAGAATGACTTTCCTGTTCATTGATGGTCAGGAATCCAAACCCCTTCTCTTTACAGTCCAAGTGCCATATGTTCCTTTCTTAAAGTAACCATGAGATAATCTTACTGAATTTAATCATTAGTGTAAATACATTTATACATATGTGTCCTGCCCTCAACTTCTCCAAGGTCCCCTCCTCCATTTTTATCCTCATTTTATAAATGAGGCTGAGAGATTGTGACTCACACTAGTCAGCTAGGCATCTGCCATCAGTCAGATGGTTTTTAGAGCCCTGTTTACAATCATGGCCAAATGTTAACATCTGTCCAGTGAGATTAAAGGGTTTATTTGTAATAGTGATTTTGGGGGATCTTTTTTGCTGCCTGAGGCTGAGAAAAGATATTAAGGCTGGGAATGTAAGGAGTAGTGGATTTTCTTGTGTTGCTAAACTGCTTGCACAGTTCCTATAGCTAATGGAGGGAGGAGATGGATCACACTCGGGCACTATAATTTTATTATTATTATTATTATTATTATTATTATTATTATTATTATTATTTGATTCTGCACTATACAACTACTGATAGCCCATCTTCCATTGGCCTGGGGTTATGTGTGTGTGTGTGTGTGTGTGTGTGTG